AATTAAGTTTGCGTTATGTAAAGGTATCAATAATTTTTGATAGTAACACGAAAACGACGCGTCGGACAAACAGGAAATTACGCAGTCCTTACACACTGCTAATTGTTTTCATTTTCGAAGGCTAAACGTTTCTGAATTGTTCGGTGATTGGTGTTGAATGTCGAATTCACACCTCTATTACTTTCCTTCTAGCTTGATCTGCGAAATAATTTATGGGGGTACTGGACATCTCGACCCCAAAAAATCCCGACCTGTTTTTCATACCTACAGCCAAAACAAAGTCAGCTTGGACTTTCAGTTATGAGACATGACAAAACAAACGCTGCCAGTGATAGATTTCGCGAATAAAAAACAAAATTAACGCAATTAAAGGCGCCGACCACACGCGTTGGAAATACTAGTAGATAGTACACGTAGTTTCGAATCAAAAGATGTCGATCAACGTTGAACTAGAAAGAGGTTCGCGTCGCCACATTGAGACAGGGTCACGTCGATGCGGTGGGTCGAGATGTTCATTTTGGGTCGAGATGTCTTGAAATCATTTATGGAATAAGAATCCGGGCTTTGGCTGTCAATGCGTTATCACCAAGTAAATAAGTATGACAATCACGCTAACTCGAGTCCACTCTGAATTTGTCTGTATGTGTGTTGCTCTCAATTATTTTTGTTATCCAATTAAACGCCACCAGTCACGCACTTGTCCTCGTCGTGACCCGACGCGTTCACCCATTTCAACTGAATCTATTTCCACGCGGCGGTCATTTATTTAGTAACTGTGATTTGTCGTTTTTTTTAGTTATTTCCCTATTTTATTGATCACTATAGTTTAACGTCTAGAATGTCAAAATATGTTTTCTTTTTCTTTTAATTTTGATGCTTCTACTGGAAATGTACTTCAATAGAGCATGTATGATATGATTCTTTATGGTTTTCTATCTACTATTGTTGAATCAAAATGCTCTCATTATAATTTACAGATTACGTAAAAGAGCTCTTCAATACACTGGACTTGTATGTTGGAGGAGATTGTGTATTACATACACTTGATGATGCACCCCTGCCACTCAACAGCCAGTATGCCCACCCTGACAAAGTCTCGGCAGTTCATCGCCACACTACAGATTCACATAACAGTGTAAATACATTTCCAGATGC